GGAGGACCTGAGTTCAAATCCGGCCTCAGACCAAAAACTTGACACTTACTAGCTGTGTGACCCTGGGCAATTGCCTAACCCCAATTGCCTAAAAAAAAAAAAAGAAAGAAAAAAACAACAACAAAACAAAATGACTTCTGCCCTTACCAGTGACCTAATTGTCAAGTTAATTAATTACCACTCCGTTACTAGATCGTAGGTTCTCATACTGGGGTCTACAGACCACAAAAGGCCCATTTCAGGAGGTCTACTGCAAAACAAACAAACAAACAAAAAACCCCAAACCAAAAAAATAAAAAAGCAAACCCTACACATATATTTTTACTAAGCTTTAACTGAAATTTATCATTTCATTCAATTTTTATTTTTTTTCTAAAACATTATTCTGAGAAGGAGTCCATGACACAAAAAACATTAAGAATTCCTGCACTGGATATATTCCCTCTTCTGCTGGCTTTGCAGGTACCATGATTCTCTGGTTCACCCACCCCTCCATTCATTTTCCTGTTTCATTTCTGGTTTGTCACTCTCATCCTGCCCCCTTAATTTGGGTGTTCCTCACAGGTCTGTCATAGACCTTCTCTTTCTATACTTTCTGACTTGGCAATTTCCTTCTTTCTCATGGCTTTAATCATCACCCTTATGCTGATCGTTCCCAAATCTAATATCTCCAGTCCTGCATTCTCCTCTGAACTTCAGATTGGCATTTTTAGCTGTCTACAACTCATCTTCAACCTAAATGTTTCACATTCAAAATCAAACTCATTATTTGTCCCAGTAAACTAGCTCTACCTTCTGACCTCGCTATTTTTGTTTGTTTTGTTTATGACACCCACTACTCAGCCCATCTTCTAAAATTCACAACCTTAAAGTTATTTTGACTTCTCCCTCTTCCTCATCTTTCACACGCAGCCAAGCTCTCAAAGATTCTATCTCTGTAACATCTCTTAAATCTGAACCCTCTTCTCTATTCCTGCAGCTGACACACTCATACAACCAAACTTGACTACATAGCATTCCATTTCCCCCTTTTACCACACTTTTTATGCCTAGAATGTTCTCCCTCCTCATTTCTATTTCTCAGACTACATAACTTCCTTTTAAGTATTAACTTCTACAAGGAGTCTTTCCTGATTCCCTTAATACCTGGTACCCATTACTTTGAATTTATTTTGTGTTTACTTAACTGAGTACATGTTGTTTACATCCAAAATAGAACATAAACTCTTTGAGGGCAGGGATTGTTCTCGTCTTTGTATCCCCAGAGCCTAATGAACAAAGGCTATCACATAAATAGGCTCTTAATAAATGGTTTGCTGAATTGGCTGGCATTCCATAATTTGGCACTACTCTACCTTCCCAATCTTATATTCCTCATCCTCTACTCATTCTGTACTCCAGCCAAAGTGGATAAATCTTTGCCCCTGGACATATGCTTCTGTACCTTTTTTCAGGCTGTCTTTATACCCGGAGTGCTCCCTTTCCTTCCCTACTGCTGTTTTGTCTATTGATTCTTATTAATCCTTCAAGGTAAGACTCAAATGCTAGCTCTTCACTGAAGCTTCTCCTGAATTCTCCCATTGTTAACCCAATGAGACCTTACCCCTATGGTGGGTGAAAGACAGAATGACTGAGGAAACAAAGGTTGCAGCTCCCAAGCATATTGATTTATTAAGCAATGCATGCCAATTGCTTAACAAATCAGGACCAGGCCCCTTCCTCAGCTTAGGGCTGACAGAGGGAGGCAGACTTTAATACATTAAAAACAATTAATCAAATAAGACAAATTAATTAAAAGGAAACAACCAGGAAACAATATCAGGTGGATATACAATTGTGAGAAAACTCCTTGCATCAGTCTTTGGATCTGACTGGGTTTCTGGTCAGCACAGACTAGGTCTTTAGTTAAGGGTCTCTAAGCAGCAGGTAGAGGTGGTCCAGCTTCCCAGCCACATATGGCTAGGTTCAAACAATACAATACAATAAGGTTTTCTCCCAATTCCCACAATCAAATAAAATTTTCTCCCAAGCAGAAGTGGGAGTAGACCCAATATTGAATAGAAAAGGAACTGAGCTAGCTCCAGAATTGAGTCATAAGATGGAGTCAGTGTAGTTCATTCAATTCCCACCACCATTTGCTGCTCCAATCCCCTTAATTATCTCACCCCTAAGAGCTTACTTTGTTTTATAACTTTTTTTCTTTTCTTTTTTTTTTTTTTAGGCAATTGGGGTTAAGTGACTTACCCAGGGTCACACAGCTAGTTCGTGTCAAGTATTTGGTCTGAGGAGGGATTTGAACTGAGGTCCTCCTGACTGCAGGGCCGGTGCTCTATCCACTGCGCCACCTAGCTGCCCCTTTTATAATTCTTTAACGTATTTTTCATGCAATAATGTATAGCATACTTATGTTGGCATGATTTTCCCTCTGACCTGAATCTTCTTAAGGGTAGGGACCAGTATTTAATCTAAACTTTGTATCACTCTCAGTACCGAGGACAGTGCTCTGTACTCAGAAGAGACTTAATATCTATTTTATTTGTTACTTGATATACTTAGAGCTAATCAATGTCTTCAGCTGTTGCTAAAGCTAACAATTATGTGGTTTTTAAAAGTATATATAAGAGTTATTTGTTTTTAAAGCATCTATATATGCAGCAAGAAGAAAATATAACCTTAAGAATCTCCTATATTTTCCTACATTCATATTATTAGAACAGTGTACATTCCATAATTTTCCATTATTCTCCTAAGACTTTTTCCCTCCTATTACAGTTTATGTAGCTAGACCCCTCAAAAATAGCTCCCAAATGTCCTATATAAATGATGAATCTGGAGCCCAAATCTGTTACCTGAATTATATGAAGAACCTAGGTTCAAATCTTGGCTTCTAATGCTTGCTACCTGTGTGACTTTCAGCAAGTGATTTAACCTCCTCACTTTCCTCAGGGGTTGGACAGTACGGTGTCTGAGTCCTTTCCAGTTCAGTGTATGTAGATGATGGTAAGATCTCCATTTTTCAGGCCATATCTTGGCTTACCCCCTAGGTAGGTAGCAGCCTGCAAAGATTAGCATGAGTAGCCTAAAACTTAAAAGAACAGAGGAGTTCATTCATCAGGACATTCTCCCCAACAATACAGATGGCCACTTATCAACACCTGTCCATTCTGTGGGATTCTTGTCTGCATTCTTCCATGAATTTGCCACAGGGAGTCTACTCAAAATACCCAACATCTTCCTTGGTTTCTCTGATATGAAAGGAATACCAGAAGGGTACTCAGGTTATCCATCACTCCTAGTCCATGCCATTAGAATAGCTCATGTTCTTTTCCAATCTTTTACTTCTATTCAAGTTTCCTCACTGTTTATATGTTTCAGGGCAGGTAAATGGAGAAGTGGATAGAGTGCTGGGCCTGAAGTCAGGAAGACTCATCTTCCTGAGGTCAAATCTGGTCTCAGATACTTCTTAGCTATGTGACCCTGGGCAAGTCACTTAATCCTGCTTGCCTCAGTTTTCTCATCTGTAAAATAAGCTGGAGAAGGAAATGGCAAACCACTCTAGTATCTTTACCAAGAAAACCCCAAATGGGGTCATGAAGAATCAAATTCAACTGAAAAGCCAACAACAAAACAAATTTTATGTTTCAGCCTATTCATGTTACCATTATTCTCTAGTAAAAAAATAGCTGGAGTCCTCTGATTTACAGTAGTGCTACTTACAGAGACCAATACAATATAATTGGTAGCCGTTTAAGGTTTGCAAAACACTTCACAAACACGATTTCATTTGCTGCTCAAAGATAACCCTACAGGGCAGCTAGGTCAAATTTGGCCTCAGACACATGGCAGTTACTTGCTATGTGACCTTGGACAAGTGACTTAACCACAATTGCCTCACCAAAAAAAAAAAAAGATACTCTATAACCATATAAGCATTATTAGGCTTTTTTTTTTTTTTGTTACAGATCAGGAAACTGAAGGTTTCAGAGGTGAAGAGATTTTTCTGTGATTACCCAGCTTAAAGATGTTAAAAGCAGCATTTGAACCCAGATCTTCCTGATGCCAAACCCAGGGCCTTTTGCAACACACCATGCTGCCTCAGCAATAGGAAAATAAACTCCACACTGTAGAGAAGCGGAACTCTAAACAACTAGGAAGTTATAAAGGCTTACTGAGATGGTAACCTGGAAAGAATGACTGAACTTGGAGTCTGAAGATTTGAGTTCCAATTCTATTTCTCCTTTGTACTGCTTGGGGTTGGATTTGAATAAAGGAAACAATCATTTATCAAGCACCTGCTATGTGCCAGGCACTATTTTAAGAGCTTCACAAATATCTCATTTGATCCTCACAACAGCCCTGGGAGGTAGGTTCTGATATAGGGGAGATCTCTATTTTACAGCTGAGGAAAGTGAAGCAAATGGACAGACTAGATGACCTCTAAGATCCCTCCCACCTCTTCATCTGTGATCCTATGATCTTTTGTTCATCTATATTGTTACTTGGTATTAAGATAGGACTTGTAAATATAAGCGCCTTGCCTGTTTAAACCCTCACAACCAACTAGTAGGGAAGACTTTTTAACTTTATGCTGTTTGAGAAAGGATATAGTTTGGAAAGCAGGTGGAAAAGAGCACACAGAGGAATTGTGGTGAGCAGGAAAAGGCTAATGTAGCCTCTTCATTGGGCAATCCCAAAGCTGCAATCCCAAAACTGGCCAAAATGAAACTGACTCCCAGAAATCAATTTTTCAGGTTGTGCCAACTAAGTCTCTAACTATTTCATGGGGAGAAAAAAAGAACAGGAATTTGAAAGTAATGGAAGTAAAGGTACCAGACTTGGTTCTTTAAGGGACCAATGCCTAATGACAGGCAGGGCATGCAAATTAACACGCTACTCTTGAGTGAAGGGTTGTAGCAGTTTTTTAATAACAGTACTGCAAGGAAGCAACCCGGGGCTGAACGTGGTCCATCTTGGCATTCTTATAGGCAGCATGGCTGTATAGTGCTTTTCACTGCAGCAAAGAGAGACTACTGGGGCTATAAGGAATCTTAGAGGTCATTTAGTTCAACACTCTGGTGCAGTGGAAATAGGTCTTGAACTGCTGTCAGAGCACCTGGATTTGAATCCTGTCTCTGCCACTTACCATCTGAAGGCCCTTGGGTAAGTCAAGACCTATCTGGGCCTCGGTTTCCTCTTCTGTAAAATAAGGGTGTAGGACTAGATAGGAGCCGAGTTCCCTTCCAGCTTTAAATACACATCCTATGATGTATGTATCTCTGGACCTTACTTTATTCACCTGAAAAATGAATGAACTGGACTGATTCTGAAAATCAATTCCAGCTCTAAATCTAGGAATACACGATATTATTCTATAGATGGGGAAACTGAGGCAACAAGGAGGGCAGTCAAACAAAGGGGACATGCATACTCTCCCTACGGATGGAATGAGAAAGGAAAAAACCCTTACCGGGTCCCACCAACCCGAAATACTGCTCGGAGGTGGGAGTGGTCGAGGGGGATTCTGGTGGGCGTCAGGGGGTCATCCCTTACTGAAGGGGGGTCGCCTGGCGCGGCAGGGCAGAGTCACTGTCCACGGGGTGTGGGGCCGGGGGGGAGCCGACAGGCAAGGGGAGGTGTTCGTGAGTGGGCGGGTGGGTACCTGTGGAGGCCTCGCAACGCTGAAACGCCCCGGGCGAGCATGAGGAGGGCGGAGGAGCTCTGGGCGGCCTGGGGCCGGGATCGCGGCGGCTTCGGACGCTTTCTCCAGCCGCTGCCGCTCGGGGGCAGGGGCGCGAGGGGGCACGGCCACTCTGCAGCGCCGAGCAGCGGGACCCAAGGCGTGTGACAGCCCCACGCCGGCGCCCACTTCCGCCCGCGGCCCCGAGCGCGCCCGCGCACGCGCCCGCGCCTGGAGGAGAGGCTCGGGAGCGCGGGCGGTGGCGGCAGCAGGGAGGGGGCGGGGGAGGCGAGCGAGCCGCGAAGTTTGTGCAGGCGGGGCTGGCTGAGGGGCGGGGGCGGCGTCGGGCCGGGTGGAGCAGCGGGAGACGCGCTCCTGTCGTCGCTGCCCGAGGTCCTCTCGTAGCCCGTGGTCCTGGAGCTGCATCCTCGCTGCTCATCCTTCTCGCAGGGTAAGGAGGCTTCTGCTAGAGGAGGTCCCCCCCCCCCCCCGGGGGCCCCCCCCCCCATCTCACCTCTCCATTCTGGAGCAAACCTCGGAGGTTTTGCATGAGTGGGGTCTGCTGCATACTCAGCCCCCACCCCAACCCCTCCAAGTCAGGGAACAGGGGAAGATGCCAAGGGGTGCAGGCAGAGAAAGAAGGGGTCGTTGTTGTTGTTGTTGTTGTTTTAAGGGAGGGGGGTGTCAGTGCAGTGCTGAAAGGTGAGGGTATAGAACGGAGCATCCTTCCTCTTTCTCCTCTATCTCCCCCTCCCTTCTCTACCCTTACCCCTCCTCCTCCCTTTTCTTTACCAATCTCCTCCTCCCTTTTCCTCCTGCTCCTTCTTTCGCCCCCAAAGAGGAGGAGGACGAGAGGCGCTAGGGAGAAGGGGTGCTGGGAATGTGAATGGCGCTATCAGCACCTGCAGCCCTAGGGCCTGAACACTGGGTTCATCTTCCCCCACCCCCGACCCACTTTATTTTCTGAGAACATCATATAAATAAATGAAGAAGGGGGGAAAAGAAAGCAGAGGAAGCCAGCAGCAGGTACCACACCCTGACTTTGAATTAGGGAGACCAGAGAGCCAAATGAAAGAGTGTTAAGAAATTAGAAGCCATAAATGTATAGACTGGCCCTGAGCCACCGTTTGCATGTTTTTCAGTGTTTTGCAAAAAAGAAGGTCTATGAATGAATGTTGTGAGGAATTTTAAGCCCCACTGGACAAAGTTATACATATGGTATACTGTATTAAGGAGTGTTTACAGCATGCATTGATAAATGTGTATAATTAATTACATGTGTAAAATTTAAAAGATGTTCTATTTTACTATCATATGTATATGGCATATATATTCATACATACATTATTTTAATTTTCATTACCGTCCCCTACAAGTTCCTTAGACAGTAATTATTAGAAGAGAAAAGAGATTCCTCCTCCACCTCCCATGATGATGCATTTAAGTACTGTGCCATTTTTATTGGGTTTACTCTTTGAGACTGATGCTAAGAAAGTTGAATCACCTTAAAGTTGTAACTCATGAATAGATGGAAATGACCAGTTTTGAAGTTAGGAGAGTGTTGTTTATCAGGAGTTAGAGTTGAGGTAACTGTGTTTTGATTCTCAGTAAGGACAAAGTGGTTAAATAGTCCCTGAGGCAGTGATTGATAAAAACACATTAAAAATTATTTATACAGGTGTTCATTGAACCTGTCAGTCTCAGCTTAAAATCAGCATGCTCTCTTAGAGAAAATTTCTACTTAGATAAAACTGTTGCCTAATCTAATACAATGTTACTGTGTATAAAGGAAAAGATGTCATAAGTAATCCATAATAAGCCTTTGAGTTCACTTTACTTTAAAAAAAAAAGAATTCATGTTGTTTTTTAAGGTATAATTTAATTTGTAGACCCTCTGACCCATACCAATTGTTTGACCCTGGGCAAGTCACTTAAACTGCCAATATTCATGGAAATTCTCCATGACTTCAAGTTTCAGAGCAGTTACCTTTCAGCATTGGTAGAGGGAGTTTTCTCACCAGGAGTTCTCTATATTAATTAAATGGTAGGTCTGGGCCAAAATAATTTAATTTGTAAGTTTCATATTTCATTCTTAATAAACTATCTATCTTAGTAAACTTAATATTTCTCTTTCTTTTAGGCAGGGGACCATTCTCCAAGCTTGCAAAATGTCATCCATCAAGCATCTCGTCTATGCAGTTATCCATTTCTTGCGGGAACAAAGCCAGATAGATACTTACACTTCAGATGAACAAGAAAGCTTGGAAGGTAATGTTAATGGCTAACTAGGTACCTATTTTTTGTCTTAGCTTTTATGAAGCAGCTAGGAGACCCAGTGGATAAAGTACTGGACCTGAAGTCAAGAAGAACTGAGTTCAAATCCCTTCTCAGACACTTATTAGCTACATGACCCTGGTCAAATCACTTAATCCCTCTCAGTATTAGTTTCCCCATACGAAAATGGGGATAATAACAGTACCTACCTCACAGGATTGTTGTGAGGATCAAATAACAATAACATACATCAAACATTTTTTCAAATTGTAAAGCACTATATAAATGTAAGTTATTACTATGATCATAAACTTCCTCTAGAGTCTTTATCACCTCACTGTGACATGGAGGTGACCCTGGGTTCTCAGAGGCTGGTTCAGAAGAATGCCAGCTCTGTGAAATCTTACCAGACTGGAAAAGCTTCAAGTGTAGTCTGTGTGTCTGTCCTCAGGGATCAGCCTAGCTAAGTTCAGAGAGACTCCAAGTTGACTTCAGGGTGAAGAATTTTTTTGGTGGGGGGGTACCAGGCAACTTTTGAAGGACATTGACTAAGTCAAAGGGGATTGTTCTGCATGTCAGTTAACAGAATACTAATGAAACCACAGATCATTAAAGTGTGGTTTTAAAAGAATCCACAAATGGGTTTTTAAGCACCTACTATGGTTGTAGGCACTGTTCTAGGTGCTAGGGAAGTGAAGACAAAGATAATTTTTTTCCTGTCCTCAAGGGACTTATATTTTATTTAGAGAGACAACATATATGCATGTAAATATATAGAAAATAAATGGAAGGTCACTAGCAGCTAGGAAGGTCAGGAAAAGCCTTGTGACGTGAGCTTTGAAGCAAACTAGGGATTCTGTGAGTCTGAGATGAGGAGGAAATATATTCCAGGCATGGGAGTAGGGGTGGGTAGCCTATGCAAAGGCTACCTCTGTACCTATGCAAAGGTACAGAGACAGAACATGGAGTATCATGTGTGAGGTATAGCAAGAAGGCCTGTTGCACCAAACTGGGTAGTGCATAAAGAGAGTAATATATAATAAGGCTGAAAAGGTGGACTGGACCCAGGTCATTAAAGGCTTTAAATGGCAAAAAGAAGAATTTGTATTCAATCCTTGAAATATTAGGGACCCTCTGGAATATATTGTGCAGGGGAATGATATGAAGAGAACTGAACTTTAGGAATATCGCTGTGGCACCTGTGTGTTGGATGGTTCGGAGGTAGGAGAGCTTTTGAGGCGACAAGTCCTACCAGGAGGCTGTTACAATCCAGGCAAGAGTTGATGAAGGCCTGAACTATGGTGGTGGCCACGAGTAGAGAGAAAGGGATGGATACAAAAGATGTGGACATAAAATCCACCAGATTTGGTAACTAACTGGATGTATGGGGTGAGGGAAGTGGAGGATGATTCTATGTTTACAGACCTGTGTAACTAGAAGGATAGTGGGGGCCCTGAACAAAAATCCAGTTAGAAAGAGTAGTGATTAAAGGAGTGGTCAATGAATTCTTTTTTGAATGGGTAGAATTTGAGATGCCTGTGGAACATTCCATTTAAAATGTCCATTAGGCAGTTCATAATGTGGGATTCATCTTAGTAGAGAAACTAGATTTACAGATTTGGCCATCATCTGCACAAATATGATAAACTCATGGAAGTTGATGAGATCATCAAGAGTATAGAATGAGAAGGGCAACTAGGTGGTGCAGTGGATAGAGTACAGCGTCTGAAGTCAGGAAAACTCATCTTTATGAGTTCAAATTCAGTCTCAGACACTTAACTAGCTGCATGATGCTGGGCAAGTCACTTAACCCTGTTTGCCTCAGTTCCTCAACTGTACAACAAGCTAGAGAAGGAAATGGCAAACCACTCCAATATCTTTGCCAAGAAAGCCCCAAAAGGGGTTACTAACAGTCCAATCTGACTAAAATGACTGAACAGCAACAACAAATATAGAGAAGAGGCCCAGGGAACAACCTTGCTTGCTGTGCCACAGCTAGGAGAGATGATATGGTTGCTGATCTAGCAAAGGAGACTGAGAAGGAGCTGTCAGGAGGAAAACCTACAGAAAAGAGATGGTCAGTGGTGTCACTTGATGCAGAGAGATCAAGAAGGATAAAGACAGAAGAAAAAGACATCTGATTTGGTAGTTAATAGATCATTGGCCACTTTGGAGAGAGCTACTCCTTATGTTTTAAGGCAAGATCAAAATATTTTGTTGACCGTTCAGGAAGAAATACTGTGATGAAGGAAGACATTCTGACTACTCTAATAGTTTCCCTAAGACTTTTTTTTATTAATAAGAAATAGCATCCTGTTTACAACTGATTATATTGACATAAAGATTTCTTGGAAAAGTAGGTGGATAAAGAAAATAACATAATTGAAGAGCCTAATCGTTACACCACTGGTGGAAGGCTCTGAGCAGATGATGTATATTTGGGAGCTGCTTATCTTGAAGAGAGAGGTTTTCCCCACCAGAATAACAAGGTTTTTTGTCCTTTATAAGCCTTTTTATTGTTTAGTTAGGTGATCTGAAGTCACAGAGAATATCACTGTCACATGCTTTCTTGACTTTATGTTCCTTCATAATAAAATGCAAGTTAAAAATAGTCATAGCAGCAATAGAATTCAGCAGATGGGTTTGTGGTAGTTCACTGAGCCTACCTTCCTTGTGGCTTGAAAGATTTAATTACTGCAGTGAGACAGTGCACTGGGTAAAATGTAATGAATGGTGGTCCAGTTATCATTTCCTTTTTGAAGATATATTTCCTCCAAAGGGACAGCTCTCACATTGGCTTCTGAGAGAGCCTCCCTTGCGGATATGCTTTTAGGAGGAAGGAATGGAAACTGGGCCTTTGTTTAAAATTTACTTGCCTCTGGTGATGGGGGAATTCCTTTCCAGGGCTGTCATGAATAGCAGTTGACATATGGCTGGAGGGTTGAAGAATATTGCCATCAGTACAACTTTGTAATGAAATTGTTGGTGATTCTTAATGTTCTGACCAGTGGGAGGTGAAGGTGATAGAGGGGAATATATGAGTTTGAGTCATGTCACAAATGGATAAGTGAAATCACTCTAACAAAGAGATTTGTTTTCTAACAGAAAGAGAATATGTGCTTTATGAGAGAATATAAGCTGCCAGAAATATAATCGAGCCCTTCTTATCACCAACACTTTGAATCCTATTTTTAGTGTTGTATGCAGCCAAAAATATGGTGCCTTAGGCTTTCTTACATGGCATTCAGAAATGTTGCCAGCCTATTTGTGTGACTGCCCCTCACTTTTTTTTTTTAGCTCTTTGAGTCTAATTTAGTTGAACATGAAAATAATAGTGGAAGTTTAAGCCCTGGAATAGGCCAAACCTTATCACTAACTCACTGTGTGACCTTGAGTCTGTCATTTAACCTTTTTGTGTATGTTACTGTGTAGGTAACAGGGAAATAGCATCTGCTTTTCTTACCTCATAGAGTAGTTGTGAGAATCAACTGAGATAATGTATGTTAATGTGTTTTGAAAAGTAGCTACTTCTATATAAACATTGTGGGTTTGGTGTTCAGACCTGGGACTGCATCTGTGTGGGGCACTCCTTGCATGGAAACTCCTTCCACTGACCCAAATTAGCAGTTCATCTCTAACTTAGTCTTAGAGAGTTGCCTGGGACACAGAGAGGTAGAGTGACTTGCCCATGATTTCAGAGGCAGGCCTTGAAGCTGGGTCTTCCTGTTTCGAAGGCTGCCCTTCCATCTACTAGACGACCCTTCCTTTCTTTGGAAACATTTATTTTAAAAAATGGATATTTATTTTATTTTCATGAAAATTTACCTTCTCTCCCTTTCTTCTCCCCCCATCCCAAGCCTCCATTGAGAAATCAGGGAAAACAAAAGCCCTGCTACAAACATATATAATAAAACAAAACAAATTTTGACATTGGCCATGTCCAAAAAAAATGTCTCAATCTGCACTCTGAGTCTATTAACTATACACTTTCTATCAGGAGGTAAATAGCACATTCCATAATGAGTCTTCTGGAATTGTGGTTGGCTATTGTATTGATCAGAGTTCCAAAGTCTTTCTGACATGTTTGTCTTTACCATATTGTTGTCATTGTATCTATTGTTCTGGTTCTGTCCATTTCACTCTGTATCAGTTCATATAAGTCTTCTCTGAAACTGTCCCTTTCATGTTTTCTTATAAAGTGGTATTATTATCATTTAGTAAGAAGTAGTTACCTCTTTTTTGGGCTACAAGTACATCTGTTTTCTCCTTCGGGTACCAAGCAGATAGTTTTTTATTACTTTTGGATTAAGTAACACTCAAGGTAATATGTTTCATTAGTATTTTCCAATATAATTCAATAGACATTAAGCATTCAATGTAGGAAAAGAGCACTGTGCTTGACACTGGGTGAATTGTACATATAGATAAAAATAAATCTCCTACTTCCATGAAGCTAATCCAGTAGTAGGGATAAAACATACACATAAATAACTATCATATAAAATAAGTATATAAAAAAGATGAGAACAAAGTATAATGTGATTTCAGAGTGGGAAAAAATTATTAATAACTGGGGCTTCATGGAATAAGTGGTATTTGAGTTGGAGTTTAAAGCTTGGATAGGAATTCAATGGGTTGAAGGGTAAGAACAGGTTATATTATGATTTATTCAATAGTTTCTCCAGGAAGACATTGAATATTTCCCTATTTTAAAGATGAAGAACATGAGGCACAAATAAATTGACAAAAACCACATACTCTATTATTTGGCATAGAATAATGCCTCACATATATAGAATATGTAAGGTTTTACAAAGTACTTTCTTAACAAGAACCCCGTGGCAAAGATAGGCAAATATCATCTCCATTTTAAAGATGAAGAAACTGAGGCTTAATTGCCTTGTCCAAAGTCATATGGAAATCGAACCCAGATTTCCTGACCTCTAGTCCAGTGTTCTTAGTAGTACTATAATGCTTGAGTTGTAAGGCTATGT